GAAACACTGACGGCAGGATTCTATAGAATTCCATCACGATATATCCGAATGTGATTTCGTCAGCTAGTTTACAGCAATATTCACACAGGATTCTGCAAGATTCTGATAAGCTCTGACTGTTGAATTGTTTTTCCTGGAAAAGGGTATGCAAAGATAATGTTATCTCAGTACAAAAGATATTAGATTCATTTATATGATTCTTTAACAAAAGTAGAAGACATGAGCAATCGATGGAAAAATTGTACTCATTTATAGAGCAATGATTTATCCTACACAAAATCACATGTATTAAGGAGATACAAATTCAATCAACATATTCTGTTATAAATAGAAAAAAAGAATAATAATATAAATGTATAACATTCATTTCTTTATCATTTCAACTGGAAATAATTCTTAAGAAGAAAAAAAAAATAAATGATCGATATCTTCCGAAGTTTCTTGAGCTTTTGTTTAATAAATTATAAATTCGTGAAATATTTGTCTTTGAAAAGAACACATATTTTCTTAAGAGAATATGTTTTAATGGTTATGCTCTCTATTTCAGTAAAGTCTTCTACAGTAACTTTATGAGAGAGGTGCCATACTCTCTTTCATAACTGCTCATGAATTATATGACTACAGATACATGTTGAAAGATGGACGATTGCATATCATTGATCTGTATGATGTACTGGTTTGCATTTATTTGAGTAAAGAGAAAATGAATTATAGGAAATGAGAAAACAAGTATTTTGTAAGTCATAAAAATAATATAGGTTCATTCTTTTATTGACCATACATAAAGCTCGAATATTAATAGATGAATAGGAGTGTTCTATTAATCATTTGATTATCAAAAGAGAAAAATAAAATGTGTAAATTAATAGTAACAGATATATTATTCGAATTCAATGTATAAGTATAGAAAAAGAATAGAAAAAATATCTCATTACAACTTTTATACAGTGTTGCAATCTATATCTTTTATTTGAATGTTACAGTATCTATTAATTTGTTTCTATTGGCAATATGACTTGAATATTTTTATACGAAGAACTAAATTAATAAAATTAATTATTTGAAAAACAGTAGTTTTTTTGTAGCATATGTTTAACTTCTATTGAAATGTTAAAATAGATGAAAATTATTTAACAATAGACAATGATTAAATAAACTCGATTATTCTGTATAAACATATATAAATATTTAAAAAAAATTGATTAATTATTTAATTGAATAATAATACTGTTTCTTTTTGAATTTCGATGAATATTATTGAACCGATCAAATATTATCTGATAAGATATTCTTCATTTGAAATATACACGTCATTTACAATATACATCTAAATTTATTTAATTGAAAATAAAACAAAAGAAATTTTTGACTCTTTTTTTCTTTTCTTTATTTGTTTCACCACAGATGACTAAATGTTAAAATACATAAATTAGAAGTATTTAATATTGAAAAGAAGCTATGCTAAAAAGTTTAAGGTTTACTAAATAGACTAAATAATAGAAACTATTTTAGGATAAATGCTTCATGATAAATTTATTTTCCATGATCTTTCTTTGCCATATATTGAATAAGGTCAACAACACGATGTGAATAACCATATTCATTATCATACCTAATAAATAAATTATATGATTCAATTTAAAATATTATAATTATCAAAATAAAATATACCATGAAATAAGTTTAACAAAATTGTCATTAAGTGAAATGCCTGCTTTAGCATCAAAGATTGATGAATTAGTATCACCAATGAAATCAGTTGAAACAACTTCATCTTCTGTATAAGCCAAAATACCTTTTAATGGACCATTTGCAGCTTCTTTTATTGCTGCACAAATTTCAGTATATTTAGCCTATATAAAATAATGTTCATAAAAAAAGAAAAAACAAAATCTATGAATCACTTACGCCTTTACTTAATCGAGCAGTAAGATCAACAACTGAAACATTTGCTGTTGGAACACGAAAAGCCATACCAGTCAATTTTCCATTTAAATCAGGAATAACTTTTCCAACCTATTTATAAAACAAAAATACATATTTATATTTCTTTCTAAAATTTCAAACATACAGCTTTAGCAGCTCCAGTTGATGATGGAATAATATTTTGAGCAGCTCCACGTCCACCTCGCCAATCCTATATGAAATGAAAAACTTCAAAAAAACAAAAATTTTTTATTAATAATATACTTTATTTGATGGACCATCAACAGTTTTTTGTGTAGCTGTATATGAATGTACAGTTGTCATTAAAGCTTCAACAATACCAAATTTTTCATGAACAACTTTAGCAACTGGTGCTAAACAATTTGTTGTACAAGATGCATTTGAAACAACTGTTTCTTGACCAGTATATTTTTCTTCATTAACTCCCATAACAAACATTGGTGCATCGGCTGATGGTGCTGTAATAACAACTTTTTTTGCACCAGCTTGTAAATGTGGTTGACATTTTTCAATGGTTGTAAATACACCGGTTGATTCCACAACGTATTCAACGCCTTTCATTTAAAAATAAAAATACAAAGAAATTTTATTTCCTTTTCCAAAGTTCAAAGTCTAAAAGAATCATACATACCAAGTTGACCCCATGGGATTTTTGATGGATCTTTTCTAAAAATAAATTCATATAGTTGATTTATAAAATAAACAAACAAACAAACATAAAAAAGATCTTTACTCAGTAAAGACAGCAACTTCATGTCCATCAACAATAAGTTTTCCATCTTTTGTGGAAACATTACCCTTAAATCGACCATGTGTTGAGTCATATTTAAACATATAAACCATATAATCAGGAGGAATAAATGGATCTATAAAGACAAATTTCAATTATAAATAAATAAATAATAAATACAAAAAAAAAATGCACTAACCATTAACACCGACAATTTTTATGCCTTTTTCAAGTGCACATCGGAAAACAAGACGACCAATACGTCCAAAACCATTGATACCAATTTTAACATCAGTCATGTTTACTTGCAGACAAAGAACAACTGTGGAAACTAGAATATCAGAAAGAAAAAAAAGAGAAGGAAATATAGCGCGGACGAGATATTTATAGAGATTGATGCGAACTACATTTATCTTTTCTTGGTACAGACAAGACAGAATTCTTATTTACAATGCATTAGTTTATTAGCGACCCCTTTTGATAAATTTATTAATTCAATCAAATTCTATTTCGTTCTTATCTACTATTCTATTGAAAAATATCTATCAAAATCAATGAAAAAAAAAGTCTCTATTGAAAAATATTTTCAATGGTTGAATAAAGAGAATTCTACATGAATCATTATGTTCTATTTATGTAAATCAGTCCAATCCAGGACTTTCAATAGAAATTTCAAATATAGTACAAATAGATGCCTTGTTTATATTGACGAACGATCTATTAATACTTTCTGCGTAATAATATAGTATCATCGTAAAAAAAATTTGATCAATAAAAACAAAACTAGAGTTATAATTATTTGCATGTTATCATGAAAAATATATATTCCTGTGAAAGAAAAACAATGTAGCAGAATAACATATAGAAGATAATGACAAAAACATATGAATATTGATCTGACTACATTATATTTATCTGCATTAATTTTTGCTATCATATGTATATTGGAAGTAACAAAAATAAGGATAACATGACAGTAATTATTGTTGTTGTTGTTGTTGGCATTTGTTAATACCTTTTGTTGCAAGACCACCTATGGACTTATAAAATCAAAAAAGACATTTCAGATGATGAAATAGACATAGACATTGATATATTTCAAATTTATTGATGAAAATCAAAATTTTAATGAAGTAAATACAATGAATTTAATTTATTTTAGTTCTTGGACATGAACTTCATTCTATTGAAATTTCTAATTTTATACGTTCGAAAAGAACTAACCCAGGTGAAGAAATACAAACAAAAAAACTCAAGAAAATAGTAGGACCCTAGTAATAGGGTCTGATGGTCGGTTCTGCTCGAAACTAGAAAAATTCGGCCACCGGATTTATGCTTTCAAGTTCTTACTATTTTTTGAAGTTTTCCGGCGGAAACCTACCAGAAATTCACGAATCCGGACGTTAAAATCATTGATCTGAGAATGAAGAAAAGTACGTAGGAGAAACAATATTGGAAATTTCAATGATAAATTTGATAAGAAAAAATACTTCGTAGTTATTTTCTACTTTACATGAGTGCAAAAAAAAGCAGTATTCTGTCAAAATCGTAAACATGTTGGGTACTTTGCTTTTGCTTGAGATACTTATTATTGGAAACATTGATTCAATTCACTTACAAATTTTTTTAAAATGAATTCGATTTGATTGAAAATTTTTTCATCAATTTATTTTTGTTTTAGTTTCGTATATGAGTTGACTCTAGACATGAGTAGGAGCAGTCATTTTCGATTTCATCTTAGCCGTATCTATTGAGAACACATGAATCGTGACAATAAGACATTACACCAAGAAGAAAAGAGCTGATTTTTTTTTAAAATTTTTTTATCACTTTTAAATAAAAGAAAATCATTTATTCAAAAAAGGTCCTTTTCCAACGTTTTGTATTTTGATTGATCAAAGAAGACGATTCATACGTTTAGAGGATAAGATCTGTCGTCATAATAATTACAAAAAAAATCTGATTTCAGGTTATTTCCTCTTGCATTCAACGCCAGTTTTACACGATCATAAAAGATATCGTTTCCAATGAAAGTGTTAGTCCTCGTCTCGATCTCAATTCCACCTAGGATCGGAAATATAGTTCTATTGAAAATTAGAAAATCCTTCGAATATCTTCTAAACTTTATTTTGTTTATCTTTATAAAGCATTTTTCGTTCTATCATTTTCTTAATAAATTTCGACAATGAAACTGTTAGTTTTAATTTTGATTCTCTCTTTGAGAATTGAATTCTTCAAAACTTGTGAAAATTATTATTTTTTTCTCAAAATGACATAAAATAAAAAATTGTTACAAGATAGAAAAAAGAAAAGATTTTTGTTTTTAAGAGATTTTTATTGGTATAATTGTTCCTTGTTGATGTTTCATTTCAATTAATTCATCCAATAAAATACGTTTTTCAGTTTCTAATTTTTTAATATAATCATCTCTTGCTTTTATTTGTTTTTCATATTGATTATTCATTCCATTGAATGATATTGATGGAACTAAACTAGATGAACGATCTGATGATTTCTTAAAAAAAAAGACAAAAACAAAAAATTTAAATCAAATTCAAAGAAAATTACTTTTAAATCATGATTGACTTCTTCAATAACTATATTCGCTAATTTAAATAAATCAGCAACTAAATCTCGATTATACAATGATTCTGGTTCAATACCTATTGTCTTAAGAAAAATACAAAAAGCAAAACTATAAAAGAAAATTTTCTTTTGAAAAAAAAAGAAACAAACTTCTGCTGTTGTTAAATAATGACAATATGGTTTTTGTTTATCTTTCATTTCAAAAAGACAATCAATTAAATAAATTTTAACACGATCAAGTGTATCACACGTTTCAACAAGGAGATCACGTTCAATTTCATATTGTTTTAAAGATCGTATCTAAAATTATTTAAACAAAAAAAAAACAAATTACAACAAGAAAAATGAATTAGTTTTATTCAAACCATAGAAAAATCAATTTCATTATTTCGTTGTAATTTTTTTGTAAAATAAATAGGATTTGATACATGAGAATTAGTCATTTGAAATCTATTAGAATTTCGATAAACAATTGGAATTTGTCGTTGAATTTTTTTTTCTAAAGGAGAAACAACTAAGACACTTTTTGAACGATTTAATTGACATTTAGTTTTTGAAATTGGAATTGATGATGGATATTTTGTTGATATTAATGATCGTTCAATAACATTTATAAGTGAATTAAATGTTATTAAATGATTATTAGAATTTGATTCTATTTCAAGTTGATTTAAAAAATCTGATGTTGATGATGAACAATCAAAATAACGTTTAAATACATTAAAAGGTACATAACCACAATTTGTTTTATCAAGTATAGAAAATAATTGACGTAATGATGAAATAAATGCTTTAGGTAATGATGATGAGATTTTTATGTTTAAACAATTATTAGTAATTGAAGATGTTGGAGGAGGAGGTCGACATTTTGCTGAATGAGATCGTTGAAGTATTTGTTTATTCATCGTTTTATTATAAATAACCAAAACATATCTAAAAAGAAAAATATTATTCAAAAAAAACGTATCAGAAAAAAAAAAAGAAATTTTCTTTTTATTACATACAAATATCGATCAATATAATAAAAATGTTAATGATAATTCTCTCGCCTAATTTAAAATTTATATTTGTTTATAAATGATTTGTAAGGTTTTCGATTATACAATTGTCAAATGGATAAAATACAAAAAGAAAATGAATTATGTATGTGAAACAATCACGATGGATAAAAAGAAATTCGTTAATAATCTTTCTTCTATTTACAAAGGAAACAATACAAAATCCATCGATTGAATTCAAAAAAAAAAAAGAATCAGATTATGAACATGAGAAGACATAACATATCGATGTATATGCATTCATTTACTTCTCAAGAAAAAAGAAAAAAAAACTCTCTTGTCAAGTAATAAATCACAAGACGATCGATGAGAATAATAATAATAACAAAATAGGTCATGAGTTGATATATATCTACCTATCTATCTCAAAGAAAAAAATATACATTGAAGACAAACAATAAGAAAAAGTCATTTATTTAATCAATCAAAGAAAATCTAATACTCTTTAATTAAAATATAAGATTAAATTTAAATTTTCTTCGATAAAGAAATTTTTACACATACATACAAATATTATACTATTATTCTTTATGGATACTAAAGTATACTTCAAAAAAAAATTTACAAAGCATCAACAAAATATATGAATAACAAGTTCTTGTCGATTATGATGTAAAATTTTGTATATAGTTATTGTATTTAAGCAATTGAACTTACGTATATATATATATATACATACCTTTCACAGTTGTTGAGGTATGTATGTATACACATACACATCAATTGAATAGAGAAAAGAAAGAACGACTTCATTGTACTTATATGAAATATGAATATACGTGTCTGACTCAATAGAAGTATTTTGCTCGTATAATTATCATTGTTAATATATGCCTTTCATTCGATTTCACATTAAAACGAACTAGAATTGCAAATAAATCGAAAAAAAAAAGACAATGAATCATTATCTGTTTACTTGCATGCATATATGTATTATAAATGAAGAAAATATTATGATGAGATATTGAATAGAAAGACAATAATGATATGATCAGAATTTATTAAGCAAGAAAAAGAAAATACTTTTATCTGTTCTATACCAATTCTTTGAAAGTAGTCGAGTCGACATCATCGATTGTTGTATATTTATACTCTACTTAATAATTAACTTTCTATGGAATATATGATGGTGAACAATGATGACAAGTAATAAATGAATGTGAATAGTTATCTATCGACACATCACACATTAATATCATTTAGGTTATTTCAACACGCTATGAAGTGATTAGAAATGATCGCTTTGTTTTTCTTATATATATTAGTGATGATTGTTGTTATCGTAAGACAACTTATAATCATTCTAAATTTCTTTTGTTAATTTATTCCAAGAATAAAACACAAAATATTAATTCTAAATTTTTAAAAAGAAAAAAACAACAATGGATGAACATTGATATGTTTTGGTTTAAAATTATTACAACTTTTATTGTCAATACAATTGGTTTTATTACCTAACTGATACTAATCATCTGCTAGTGGATTAGTCGATTGAAATTATTCTACACAAATGAATAACTACAGACATATATTTTTGATACGGTTCTTTAGAGAATGAGAGAATCTTTGAATGTTCCGAAGATTTAATTTAAATCATAGCTGCTGGCCATTAAATCAGACGGAATTGTGATATTTTTGTCTGACCTATTCTGTCCATATAATATTAGATCAGGTTAACAAGTGAGGTCAGGTGAAAATTGTTTATCGTTGTGCGATGTAATATTCATTTCTTAAGCAGTCAACTTAAAATATATAACGATGTTACGAATTTTCAATTTCGTTTAGTAATTTTCATTATTTATAATTGATGGATAGGCTGTTAGAATATAAAAACAAATAAATTAAATAAACAAAGGAAGAAATAAATAAAAATTATGATTGATTTATTTTAATAGAAATAAAAAAAAAAAAGCATGGCTTAGTTGAAAGACAAAATTCTTTTTTTGTATGGAAGGATTTTTTATTGATTATACGAAACAATGGTGATGTAATCAAAAACATATCGATAATTCTAGTCTTTCTTGTATGAAAAAAAAAGTTTATGATGATTTGTTACTTTCTTTTAATGTACTGTTTTATATCAGAATTTATTATTCTACTAGATTTATGGAAATAAATTCATGTAAATAACTGAGACTAAAGTAATACGTTAATGCATTGTGAGAGAATTAAATAGATTTGAAAAATTTGAAATATCATTTGATCTGGTTTAATCTGTTGGCAACTATGGTTGAAGCGGCAGACAAAGGGATATTTACTTCTCTTTGTTAAGGGTACCTCTTCTCTCTTGTTTTTTTTGATCGTTTCTTATTCTCAAAGATGATATAACCAAACAAGTTGAAATTTTTACTACAAATAGAACACCGAAAATCAGGAGATACATGTCCGAGAAAACAAAATTTTGAAGTGAATTTGTGCAATATTTTTATAGAAAACACTGATCTTCATAAGATCGCATTCTTGTTGCCTACGGTCACCCATCAAACATTATCTGATTGAGCTAAACTTTTTTTGGAGATGCATAAGACTATATATCAGAGGTAATTTTAATCGTTTCTAAAAATCTCACATTCTTCTTTTTATGACAGAAATATGTAAATGTTCGGTGCCAAAACTGGATTCTTGGCTTTCAGGACCCTATAAACCGAGATAGGAAAGTCAAAAATGAAAACGGTCAATTTTACCTCTTTCCTATATCGTATATTATGGAAGTATGATGTCTGTTATAAGATTAATCCAAAATACATCTCAATATAAATTAATTTATTGTTGAATTAGGTTTTTTTTCCATTGGATTTATTCTCAAAACATTATTGTATAACAAGGGTTGTTATACAAACTCCTTAACTAGTAGTGTAACCAGGATTTCGTGAGTGATAGAGCAGAGTTCTGCGATCTAGGAGATTAATTCTTGGAATATAGTGTCAATGGCAGCAATTATTACGTTTTTCTTTGTTCTAGTGGTAGGATGGCGCTCTGGTATAGCCCACTCTTGGTTATGCCACTATGCTTAACATCAAATAATTTCTCACCTGATCTATTCTCGATATATTGGTATTCTCCTGCATCTAACTCTCTAATATGAATTGATCCCTCAGTGGCTCAATTCTTTTTCAAGAAGATGTATTCTAAACAATGGAGGATCAATTTATATCGATAATCATTGTTCTAAAATTTTTACAATTAACTAACAAGACTAGATGGACTATAGCTATGGCTTCTCAATTGACATATATAACGTTCGAATTCTTCTTCGGTTCGCTTTGTTTTTGTTATTCGAGACTTTCTTTTGATTTGTATGTCATAAAAAGATGTCTATCGAAAATTCTGCCACATAATACCGAATAAATATATCTTCAAGGATTTATTTCGAATTATATTTTTTTTCAGCAGGTTTATTATACAAATCTCTCACATTCGCAAGTCCTACTAAATTCCAAAACAGGAACGAATATCAGAATTTATTTTAAAAATTCCAATAAGCTCTGAAAGCTACCGGGAAAAAACCACAAAAATCTACTTCAAATTATTTTTCTTCTCGAACACATTTCTCCCTATTTTTGATATTCTATTTGCAGTGAAAATATTAGCTTGATTGGTCGTACTATCTTCGAGAACAAGAAATGGTCAAAAGAAGGAATAGATGGGTACCCCTAAATTTCATTGGAAAAAGTAAGAATACAATTTCAATGTTGAACGTTAGATTTTTCTATAGTAACAATTGAAAAAAACTACCGAACTAACTTTCAAAATTTTAAGAAGATGCATTGCTCATCAGTCAACAGAATTTTTAAATTTAAAATCTCATTCTAACCAATAAAATGTTTCATCGATTGAGTACATTTTCAATTGGATGAACAATGAACAAAGTTTTTTTTTTTAGAACGTTTATATTTCGTTGAGTTCTATCTGAAATTGTTAAGGAATAATCTTTTCTTTTTTTGTTTTCATCTTTATTAATCAATTCACCAAGACACATTTTCTGTTTAATAGAATTTAGTTTCGATTAGGTAGTTTATGTTGAGCAATTGCTTCTGTAATCATACTTTCAAAATCTGATTCATCTTTACGATGAATATGAACTACATGCGAACCAAATGATCCACGTAATTGAAGACGCTTTGTGATCACACAGCAACAACAGCAACATGTACAACATTCATGTGTACAAAATTGACGGTAGCAAGGATTATTGGTTACTTGACGAAGTTCACTAACATCACGTAAATATATACTAGTATCATTATAAGGTCTTTTACAACAACAACCACAAAAAATACAAAATTCTATACGTGATACATAACGAGTATCAGTTAGACTTGTATGATAAACATCACCAAGTTGACAGCATCCTGTTTTCAATTCGCAATGGTAAAATAAACGTTCACCGGGAAACATGCCAAAATTACTCTGAATATCGTATTGTCTCGGCTGAGATGTGACGAATGGTGACACAGCCGGTGGATAAGCCATTCTAAAACAAAAAAAAGAAAAAGAAACAAAAATAAGTTAATATTTATTATTGAATTTTTATTTTGTATTATGATGAATAGATTATTGTCGATATAATCTTATGTTTTTCTCTATGTATTATTATAGCTGTTGATTGGACTAAGTTTTTTAATAGTTGTGAAAAAATTAATTTCTTGTTTATGTTTTTTTTTTTTTTTTAAATTTTGATTTCATTGTTACAATAAATAAACATGTGTCGAATAAGTAAAGAAGAAATAATGTCTTTTTTTTTCTCTTTTCTTGCTCTTTGTAACTTTGATTTGATGAGATTATTTTATAAATTCCATTAGTATATAGTTAGAAAGAAGAATGTATTCGAAACAAATTTAAGATATATTTTCAAATAAAAATAAACGATAGAAATATTGTTTGTTATTGATGTCATATTAAATAGTTGTCAATATGAAAATGTCTATGTGAACATTTTCTAACAATGGAAAAATTTGTATTGAACAGATTTTGTTCGAAATATTATTGTCTTTTGATCTCAATGTCAGGGTGAGAAATAATTTGTTTAAGCACTTTTCTAAAAACGAATTTTTATTATTTGATCATTATACTTGGATATTTGTTAGAGGACTCTATAACCTATATAATAGTATAATAACAGGGATGCACAAATTCTTGCACAAATATCAGCTCATTTTTCATTGGCTAAAACATGTGTGAACAGACTCGAAAATATTTGTATAGAATCTATGTCGAAAGCTCTTTCTAACTTTATGTTCAAAAAAATTCTATCATATGTAATTGTTTTTCAGTAGGAAGCACTAAAATGTGGTCTGTACAAGGAAATGAATACCACTGAAGGTACCGATCACTCGATATTTTACGATTTCTTTCAGTTCATTTCATGAGATGGTGTTTTTCTATTCTCTATTAGATTATTAGCTCTATTCTCGACAAATCATTTGGAGAGTACTATGAAGTTCTTTGAGATAACTTTAAGAAAATTCACCATGGAGCTTCTTCATATAACGAGTATTTCAGATCATTCATAGCCATCATTTCAACTGGTATATATTAAAAGTAGTGCCATTCGAATCACGAAAAACTTCATTAGCTCATCATCATTTTTACATCATTTCTTACATGATTATTTTTCAAATTTTCGATTACATCATCTAAACCGATACCATATGGTTTCTACCAGGTTTGTAAGAAATTAAACAGCGCATATAATCGAACAAGAGTAGTAACATACAATGGATTGCATTGAACGGAATAAAAATACTAAGAGATTATTTTTCCGTGTCTACTACTTTGACCTATTTTTACGAGTCTCATTTTAGTACTGCTTAAAGATAATACATGATAGTACTTTTTTGAACATATAATTAGAAAGAGCTTTCAATGTAGATTCTATACAAGTATTTACGAGTTTGTCCACATACATTTTGGTTAATGAAAAATGAGCTGATATTTGTGTAGAAACTTTTGCATCACCTGTTGTTACTAATAGATCATTGAACTGAACTTATGAAAAAGTTGAACGAAAATATATGTACGAAAAAGTATGACATAAGCTTTTCAAATTTATATGTTTGACATAGATGAAAATAGATTTCTACGGAAGAGTAATATTTTTACTGTAGGTGTGAGTGAGGACGAGATCTCAACTTTTCCGATACCTACATTTCACCTAATCAAACTTATTCGAATAATTTTATTTTTAACTTTTTTTTTGCTTTCGTAAGCGTTCATATAAAATTCAAATTGTAATTTGAGTAGAGAATTTTATTTTCAATAAGAATATTTGAAGATGAAAATGATTACTAGTTTTTCTAGGATAGCATCTCCGAAAATCAAGTTTTTCACCTCCTAGAATTTACAAATAGAATTCTATAGGTAAATTATCCAGAATAATGGAATAAAAAATTCTTTACAAAATTTAACATCTTTCAGTTTTCAATGATATCGAGATATATCAATTTTATGGATGGCACAAAAATGGTGTTTCCACACGAAAGAACAGAAAAAATAATCGGTGTGTCTTTCGTAAGGTGATCTATCTTGGTCTTATCAAGAGCTGGAAGACATTTCATTCTGTAAAGAACTGTTTGTTCTATTATTTTGAGTAATTCAAATAGAATTCTATATGCAAATCCTAGAAGCTGAAAAACTCAGTTTTCAGAGAACCGATCTTAGGAAAACTCGCAATCATTTTCATCTTCAAAAATTCTTGTTAGAAATAAATTTCTCTACTCAAATCACTCTTTGAATTCATATTAGCGTTACAATCGTGGAAAAAATAAAACATAAAATTGTTCAAATAAAGATGATAAATTCTAACCTGTAGTGATTCAATTTCTTCTATTAATTGTTTTCAGTGAATTCGATAGGAAAAATTCTTAATGAAATAAATTTATGAAGAATTTTATTGTCAATCTATGAAATTATATTGTCAATTATTGAATGAATTAAAATCTAGATTATTATGATCTCATTGACATTTATTTCAATAAAGAATTTCATTCCAAGCATCAATAGAAACATATATATTTATGAACTTGATAAATAAAACAAAAAGTTCAATTCGAAAAAGAAAGAAAGAAGTCTTACTAGGAAGAAAAAAATTAATGCCTAATAAGTTTATGATTGGCAATTGCTGCTGGCACTTCAACTTGTATATTTGCTTTATCTGCTTTTGATACATACAATTTTTCCGAACCAAATGAACCTCGTACTTCAATAAAACTTGAAGGACGACAACAACATCCACAACAATAATCACATAATGAAGAACAACAATGACGAGTTGCTGTCATTTCACGTATTTCAGCTATATCTCGTAAGAAAAGTGATGCATCCAAATGATCTGGTTCATAAGAACAATTAAAACAGCATGTTGTTTCAGATCGAATAAGTAAACGTGTGTCAGTAAGTGTCGTATGATAAATAGTAGTACATCCACATCCTCCATCTTCAAATTTATATCTCTGCAAGAATATTTCATTACCCATTAAAATAAAACTATTATGAATTTCATAATTATGAGGTTGATTTGTAATAATAGTTGAACCGACTTTTGACATTGATAATTATTCAAGCGAAAAATAAAATCTCTTGTTACTGTTTTAATGTATATTCGTCAATTTGTATTGAAACATGTTTTAAATGGAAAAAAAAAGAAATTTGCATGAATTATTTTATTTGCTTTAAATGTTCGATTATGTACTTTTCTGTATTTACTTAACATTAGTATGTTAAAATGAAATCTTGCATATACAAACACCTACGTAAAATTAATTTCAAAACTGACTTTTTTTTTTTCTTTGTTTTTTTATGTTGTGAAAAAATTAAAGGTTGAAATTGTTTTATTCTTTACTAGAATAAGAATTGAAAAATATTTTCTGTTATATACACAACACAAGGCTAAGAACGAGAATCATTATATATTACTCGGGCTACACAGCACGCAGGTTAGTTTTTAAATAAAAAAAGAAAAAAAAAAAAAGAAGAAAACAGTAGCAGATTAAAACATTATTAGCTTTATAAAAGTAATACATAAAATATTTTATCCTGAGTAATTTTAAAAATTTAATTGTTCACCTTCTAATTTTGCTCCTTTACTTGAATAAACATCATAATTAGCTAAAACATTGTTTAAATCAGATGCTTTTATTTGAACATATTTATCGTCTGTATAACAAGGTGATATTTCATTTATATCATCAACAAGTGATTCATAACCTGTTTCACCTGGTTTCATTGTATAATAACGTGTTGTTGTTGTTGTTGTTATTCGTCGTCCATTATTGTCTAATTCAACTTGTTCAGGTGGCATTTCATATACTTGTGAACCAAGTTTTGTTAAAAGATGTCCTGGAAATTTACCACCACTATTTGCATGTGATCGTAAAAGTATATCTTCTGTAAGAATAGGAGCATTTGATGAAATACCATCTGTTGCATAAGTATTTGTTTCATAAATAACTGATCCAGAATTATCAGGTGCATATTCATAATGTATTTGTTGTTGATTACCATATTCATCAATAGTACCTGATTGTGATGATGATCGAACAAGACGTGCTAATGTACTTCCACTATAATTTTGTCGTGAAGATGATAATTGATCATAACTGAAAAAATAATAAAATAATTTTTTTGTTTTTGTTTTTAAGAGATTAAATTTTATGATTTTCTTACCCATTAAGAATTTGTCGAACATTATATTCATCAGATTGTTCTAGAGCAGTTTCTTCTTTTGATGCAGATAATTGTTGTTCTTGCATTAAAGCTAATTCTTCTTGTAAACCTAATTCAGTTAATTTACGTTGAACAAATTCTGTTGCATATAATTTATCTCCATGTTGTGTGTAATATCGTTGTGGATCAGCTTCTGCAACTCCTAATTTTTTTACATGTTTTACAATTTCAACTTCTGGTGGACGCCATTCAACAATGGTATTTTTTATACGAGCCATTGGTTCTAATGGTCTAGCTTTTTCATGAATAACTTGACGTTTTTGTTTATGATATGGAAGCCAACGTTCAATAATAACTGGTCGTGGTTTGGGTGGAAGATTTGGTAAACGTTCAATAATTAATTTACGAGGTGGTGGTGGAGGTGGTGGAATAATTTCTAGGAGAAAAAAAAATTTTCTAGGATCTTTCTAAACAAAATTTTTTCAAGAAATTAATTACTTTTAATAACAGTTGTTGGTACTGATTTTGGACGTGGAGGTGGTCTTTCACGAATAATGATCGGTGAAGGTGTACGTGGTGGTGGAGGACGTTGACGAAGAATCATTGGTGGTGCAGCTGGTGGAGGTGGTGCACGGATTTCACGAATAATAATAGGCTATAAGGAAAACAAAAAGAAAATTATTTATGATATTTAATTCTGATTCATTGAATATTCGATAAATTCAAGATAAACAAAAAACAATCTTACACCTGGTGGTGGTGGTGTATTTGGTTTTAAATATCTAACAGCAATATCTTGTTTATATGTTAATCTTTGTGTATTTGGTCGAACAATTAATTCTGGATTAGGATCAACATTAATTGGATAATTTTTCACATCAGGTGTAGCTCTTGCTGTTAATGCTTTAACTTCTTCATCTTCAGCTATTGTATTTGTATATGATGCATTTGATTGAATTAATTGTTTAATAGTTGAATCTTCTAAATAACGATCTGTTGTTGATGTTGATAATTCAATTCCACCATCACGATAATAATATTCTCTAGAACCTGATCGTGATAATTGATCAGCATCATTATTATAGGCATTAGTCGTAAAAACATTTGAATAAGTTATTGTACCATCACCACCACTTGAACGATGTACATTTGTTTCATCATATTCATCCGTTACTTGAGTAGTTGATGTACCACTTGTACGTGTTATACGACTAGTTGGCACATCAAGAACATATCGACGAGGTGGTGTCGATAGTGAACCCATCGTAGATGAAGGAGATAATGGAACACCAGAATCAGAACTAGCTGTTTTAATAGCATTCATATTACTTGCTCCACGACGACCATACTGACGAGTTGAAGTTGCCATCTAAAAGTACGAATATAAAAAAAAAAATTGTCATCTCAAACTGATTATATTAATACTGATTGAAATAGAAGAAGCTCGTCTTTCAATGGATAAATATTAGTTTTATTTCTATTATTGAAAAAACAAGGATAAAAAATGTATTATATTGTAACTTTTAAAAAGAAACATCATTTTTTTTTTTCTTTTATTTTATATTTCTACTTGATATCAATTCACTATTAGACTACCTTAACAAGAAAAGGTAATAATTAAAAAAAAAAGTGTATACAAAAAACAGAAAACAAATTATAGGAAGAATGTTGTTTTATATAATGATAGAAATGTGATGTGATGTGTGCACACACATTCACTGCACAATATTTTTTTTATATTTAGTAAAAAGAAAATGAGTAGACATCGCTCTTTTAAATATATTCACAGTACGAAATGAAAGTGAGAATTTATGACATTGACAACGATAACAACAACATAAAAAATAAATAGCAATAATACCACACTGATTTAACACTCGCCATATTACTATTTGTCAGAAAAAAATCAAGATATATATAGTGCTCTTTTTTCTCTTATAGTTTTTGTATCACCTGCATGTGCAATATCTCTATTTCTCATGTCATACACAAAAGATCGATTGTAAATGGCATGTAGGCGTCAAATAACCAAATCTCAAAAGAAAAAAAGTCTCCTCACATGAAGTATTCATTCCCGTGACCTGTATAGATACATGAAAAAAATCAAAATAAAAAAAAAATCATTTACATTAGTTTGAAAGTGGATTTATTATATGGTTTGAAAAATCAAACCAGAGAGAAAGGGTTTTTTTTTTCACTAACCTACGTGTCGTTGTTGTGTATAGTTATAATGACACGTGCACGAATCAGCAAAAAAAGTATGTGGTTTCGGGGTTTATTCGATTGACTAATCAAGTGCAATTAATTGTTCTTTTCACTGTAATGATAATGAATACAATGAAAGAATTATACAATCTTTATAATTTATGGAAATTTCTCAATAATCGAATGTTGCTTTTAGAACATCTTGATTATGAATATTTATGCATATGTTATTACCTTTGCTCGTTTTTCGTGCTTCTTTTTTTTTCTATGATTGTAACTTACATTATAAATTTCTTTTCTTCATTTTTTTTCCTTCTTGTCGTACTCCTCGTTCTTTGATATTCAGTAAAAGATTTGCCGTTGACACTGGCGCATGTCTACAGACGAATACATTGTTTGTCAAAGGTCACTATTCAACTATCGTTGACTGAAGGTCTCAAGGTCTCCTGATGCTACTACTATTATTACCTGAGTAAAAAATGAATCTAATTGGCATGTGTATACTACGTTGTCTTAGTCACTTGATGTAAGAGACACTTTCTCTGTCTGTCTGCTTACATCCAAGTAAACGACATTAGTAGTCAAGAAAGAAAAAGAAAAAGAAAAAAAAAGGAACTAAGAAGAAAAAAAGCAACCGTGGCACTTTTTTTTTTCATTTTTTATCAAAAGAACGAAAAACTATACTTATATATATAAATATATTTACATACATATATATATATATATCTTTTCAAATTCTTATCAAACCGCACGATTAATTGACTATTCATTATAAAACCATAGAGCAATTCTCAGAATTTTCAATTTATATTTCAGTATTGGTTTCGTTGTTGTTGTTGTTATTGTTGCGGTTAAAGTTAATCTTTACTACTTCATACAAATGGTTGCATTGGTAAATAAGAATAAAAACGAAAGTGAAAGCAAAAAGAAGACGATAAAGAATAGAACAACGTAAAAAGAAAAGCGAATGTTTTCCTATATATATGTTGAAATCACTACATGAAAAATGATGCTTGAAAAGATTACATTTAAGAAGAGCGTGACCTTTGTTATTCATTATGTCAAGTAAATCAAACAGAACATTATTTCTTGTCTTTTTGTTTCTATTAAATGTCAAAACCTTTGGTTAAAAATATATACACATGAAGATATATTTATATTGAAATAATTAAAATTATTGTATCATTAGTAAAAACATATTTTCAATTTTCTTGATTGCTTTTCATAAAATATATTTATTGATAGAAGAATATCATGAGCAGTTTATTATCAACAATATTTCATCAAGGCCTTTTCATTCATTCACTCACTAGTTTCGTCATCAAGGTATCGTCAACAATTGTACAGTCAAAAAATACAAATACTCTTATGAATGTATATATATATATATATATCAAATAATATTTATTTTCTAACTAAAAATTATAACGAAAAATAAATAAGAAAATGTTTCAACAGTACATCATGTTTTCGTTTGAGTTTTAAATAGTACACCTAACAATTAATATAGAATATTTCTTGAGTGACAAGATTATTATTCCATAGCATTAATATAATATCCAGATTTGATTTAAAAATTATTTTTCTGGAGATATATACAAAACTACAGTCATCTATAATTGACTTTGGAACTATATACAATAGTTTGCAAAAAAACTTGGAACAAATTTTTAGTCTA